GGATCTAATTTACCAGATAAAATTCTAGGTTTAATGTTAATAGTTCGATGTTTCTTCAAAGATATCAATTTCTCAATGACTTTTTAATGATCTCCATTTTAAAAATTGAATACAAGTGTACTACCTTCTAATAATGTCAATTCCAAAGATGTCCATCTACCAATATATCTTCTAAATTAGATATCATAAATTTATTCCAAATCCCATTATTTTACTAATTATGAGTCTTCAGGTACTCTAAATTTAATCAGACTTTAATGTGTTTCTTTTTAAGTAATTGATTCAAAATAAAATATTAAATGAGTATCACTAATACGTAAAGAACCTATTCTAACTGTTAATGTCTTAATCCATTATACTCTATGAAGAATCACTTCATCTTATTCATGTTATTATGAATAAAATGGTATGATTGTATCAAATATAATTTCATGTATTCTCTTTCTTTGTCTTTCTGGTTATTTCTTATCATAATCAGCCAAATTCATTATTCTTGTACTTTATTATTGAGATTGCATAATGTTATCAATTTAAGGATAATCATATAACTTAGGTTTGAGTAAAGGTCTTGATTTTTATTTAGTTTCATATTTCCACATTTTCCATGTAAATCTAATTTATATTACTTTCTTTACATCTAATTTTATGTAATATTTTCATAATGCATATCAATAGAATTAAATGGTTTATCAATTTATGCTTTAAATTCTGGATGTGCCCACCATTAATTAAATACACGGACTCTATTAAATGACTTTTTAAACATATATCTAGCCTATCTCATATAAATCTATTCAGAGTCTATTCTTTGTATTTTTTAATCATATGAATAAGTTGAAGATGATGATATCCTATATATATATATATAAATTAATAAATTACATCTATGAAAACAAGACTTCTTCAATACCTTAACGTTATTATTACAATTTATCTTATAAGGATTTCTTCTTTTAAGCAAAGATTCTATAAGATTCTTCAAAATCACACTTAGTTTTTAAATAATACTCTTCATTCATAAAGAATGATTCTTTTATTTTTTATAATAAAGTTTGATTTTCAACAAATACTTATTTTGCTGATATCATTTTTTCCATTATTAATTTATTATTTAATTTTAATGATTTTGTTTCATTAACTTCAAATATATGTGAACTATCTTTTCTAATTAAATCATTAAGCATTTTCATTAAAAATAATTTATATTGCTTGTATCCTTCAAATATTAGAGTTTAAAAAGACTCATTCTTATTTAAAATTTGAGTAAAACAATCAACATAAACAATTAAAAATTTAAATGAATAGAACAAACAATTCCTCACAATTTATAGTAATTCCTATTTTATTTCCTTATCATAATTAATCTCTTTTATTTTATCTTCCATTTAATAAAGAAATATAAAATGTGATCCAATAATTGAATATACTACTTTATCTTATGTTTCTTCAATCTCTTTATCTCTTAAAGTTTCTGATGCTATAATTAGAGTTCTAATTAATTTATCCAATGCATTCAATATCACTTGTAATTATTTAATGTTTTCACTACTCTATACATTAAATGCAAAGTATTCTGCATTCAATTAAAGAAAGAGTTAGCAAACTTATATAAATATGGGTGATTAATTTTATTCTAATCCAATATCGAATTCGAACATCATGGCAGCAAATGATTTCTATGATTCTGTTGGATTCTTCTACTCCAAAATACCCAAAATTCCTTTTTATACAATTTGATAATCATCCAAATAACTAATTATTTATGTAGAAAATTTGCCACAAAATTGATTTACAATATCACAAATATTAACAATAAGTATGTGATCAACCCATTATATAATTCCAAATTATTATTTCCATTCTAAAAATATTATTATATTTACTTTTTGGCATTTCCTATTGTGATATTGTTAATTTAAAGGAAATAGGTTAAAATTTATGGAATAAATAATAATGCTCATTCTCCATAGTTCTTGGATCAGCAGTCACTAATCTGAATGTTTCAAATATTACAGAATATAAATTAACCCAAAAAGTTGAAAATAAATCCAATTTATAACAATCTCTAATTTATTTATTAAATTATAATTACGATAAATTAGATAATAATTGTTTGTATATTAATCTGATTAATAATTATGTTGACTATTAATCTGTCTATTCTACATTAAGTTCTTCCAATACTCTACAATAACTCTATAATTAAGCTAATCTTTAAAATCCATTTTTTTCATTTTAAATACCTGCTTTAATAACATTACAATATAATTTTAATCCACTATCCCAAACCCAAAATTCAAATTATGCCAATTCTCTATTATTATATTAATGTTAAATTTCTAAGAGAGTCTCTAAAATCCACCAATGAAATTCCTCATTATTTAATAAAAATATAGCACTAGCTTGATTCCATTTAATTAACATACATAAATCTTACATAATACGACCTTTAACAGAATCTACACAATATTAGAAATAACTAATCAACAAAGATAATCCACCATCAGATTTTATAATTAAATTTTCATCTAAAATAAGTGTATCTGAATTAGTTTTTCCAACTCTAGTTTTAAGCATCCATTCCATAATAGCAACATAAAGAGGTTCATAATCAATAATTCTTCTATTTGGTTAAACAATCTTTTTTTTTTAAATGACTGGCTATTTCTTTTTTTCTTCAATAGAATTTTATTATTCTTCTTATTAATGAAAAACTAAAGCTTAATTTATTAATGGTTTTCGAGGTTAATAATCCTCATCTTCATCATCAGAATATGTTTCTAATACTTCAACAGCAGCACTATTACCTAGAGTATGAGCTATCCAATTAGCTATTTCTTTTTCATTTGAAGATTAATTAATACGAATACTCTCTGCTATTAATTTAATACAACTAGTTTTAACATCTGGACAAGAACATGTTGTTAATAAATTCAATAACATTTACATAACTTCTTCTTATATTAATATCTATGATATGGGATTATTATTCTTGTTCTCATATTAAAATAATCCTTATAGTTTTTTAAGTAACAATTAATAAAAACAAGGAGAGCATTTAAGAGTGAAAACTCTTGCAATATCTATAATATTGGATTTTTCAATTTTAGATTGTGATTGAAATAATTTATTTTAGAGGATTGCATCAATTATATCTATTAATATATATAAATGTAATACTTAAATAGGAATCTATTAATTAAGCATATGATATTGTGGGTAATTAAAAATTTGTATAACCCATTTGATTAGCATGTTCTTCACAACATAATCTATTTTTAGGATCTATATCATATATCAATATTTCAAGTATTTTACTAATACCAAAAATAGATATACAAAATTCAGGATTACCATTATAAATCATACGAATAAACTTTAAGTAATCTTGAATAATTGAAAAATTATCTAGTTTATAAATTTGAATTCTCCATAATAGATTACAAATGAATTACTATTTTAATTTTGTATCTTGAATTGAATTATTTAATTGTGATAATAATTCAATTGTTTAATTATTGATCATATCAAGTCCAGAATCATTTAGTTTAAGGGCTATCAAACTTAAATATTCTGTTCGAATTGCATCTTATTATGTTTCTGGTTTTGATTTAATAATTTAACAAAATAAAGTCAATAATTCATTCAATAATGAATCATAAGGTTAAATTCTTATAAATAGTAATAAAGGCACAAAATTTTCAATTCTACAAAATTATGAAAATTATTATTTTTAAGTTATTCTTAAATATGATCCACTATATGATTATAAGGCTCCATCAAATTTATTAATTGGATCAGTAATAAAATTTGCTCTGGCTCTAAGTGGAGTATAACATAAAACTAATTTATTATTTCCATGACATTTATGTAAATTTCTTAAGTGATCATTGGATTAAATACCTAAGTCTTTGTCACCACAAGTTAGATCACTATATTCATAATAGTAGTTAATACTTTCCATCAAATCCATCATTATAAATTAACATACAAGTAACATAACCATAAAAATTGGTAAAGAATTGAAATTCTATAACAAGAGAATCATTAGAGATTTGTGGAAAATCTATTTTGATTTCTCTAAGTTATTGACCACCACAAGTCAAATACAAGTAATAGGATTCCTATAAAAAGAACTTTCTTAATTGAATCTGGATACATAAAGAAGACCATTCATGATAAGGAATTTCGATCAAACTTATAGGTGCTTCATGATGAGGAGCTGTGTTATAATGAGTAATAAAAAATACAATTCAAATCCACATATTGATAAACTAATTTATTTCCATTTAAAATAAATTAACATCCTTTTTTTTTATCAGACATTAAGTACATAATTTTAGTTTCAACTTCTGATTTTATTGCTATTGGATAAAGCCAGGTTTATATAGAAATGCCTTTACTAAATAACCATTTCATTTCTCTTGTGTCTACCACTAATCCACTATTAATATAATTGAAGTAGAATGAAGCATATGGAGAATCATAACTATATTCTGCAAAAACTTTCTATAAAATGAGAATCAAATTTTACTTATAATATAGATATGAATCTCTAAACTTTTTCATTTGTTAATTAAGAATTGTACATTTAATTTTTGATATACATAAACATACTTTTGTAATTACGCTTTGTAAGTGTTATAGCTTTCAAAAACCAATTGATAATCCTAAATAATTATTATGTATGCTGAAAAATTAAGTAATTTTAATACATTTTCATTTGTCAAACACAATTCTAATAGCTAATCTACAATCTATTCATTTTAATTGTGAATTAATGCTAATGCTTACAATGAAGTACATTGTAATAATTATTTCTCTAAATGATCATAAAATTGTTATTATTCTTCTAAAGGTAATTAATCTACAGATTATAATGCCTTTAAAAGATAATCAGCTCTTCTGACTATTTTGTTTTGTTTATAATGATCAATAAGAGCAGGCCTGAATTGATCATCAAAAATGGCATCAATTAATTACATTTTTATTAATATATTATGTCTAAAACATTTCATTTTGTACTCTTCATAGTTATGACTTTGGGAGCTGAATGGTAAACAGGTTTAGATTATGTGATCAAAAACTAACCTTAATTAACACTCACTAGTAATTATCCAATTCATACACAAATTGAAATCATATTTGATAAGCAATTCTCAGAGTATGTATCTCTCTTAAAAGAGTGCCTGAAGTATTGCTCATGTTTGAATAAGTAACTTTCGAATCAATGTTGGATGTTGACATAAATCTTTCATTAGGACAAGTGACCAAATCTGGTAGAATATTTAAGCTCTCCATTTTTAGGTTTTGAATTAAGATATCGTTTAGGAGGACCTGCAAGAGTCTAATAACTTAAAGTTAGATGGGTAGCATTTGTAGATAAAAATGTATAACTTACCTATCGTGAATTCAATTTCATGTAATTAAGGGAACTTCGTCAAGGTATTATAATACTACATTAATAACAAGGTTTTGGTGTGAGAGAAGATACATTTACTCATCCTATTAATGCTAACATATAATCTCCTAAAGTTAGTGCTTTTCTTGTGGGATTCAAAATTAATCCAGAAAACGGACCATATGCATTATAAATACATTGTGTTTTGGATTCAGAAATGCAAAATGTCAATTTAAATCTTAAAACTAAAGATACTACTCATGTAAGATATGTTAAAGTTGCTTTGATTCTTGTTGGAACAGGATCAAAAGCCATAACCAAATAAGGTGGTATAGATTCAAGAGGTTTCAATTACTTTGAAGTAATTATATTATTGATTCTTAAAAGGAATAAAGCACTACTGGAATAAGAAGAATTGATTATAAATAAGTTGTTCCTGATACTTTCTTAACAGCACCTTAAGACAATATTCTAAGTTAAGGACTGAGAGGTTTTGAGGCAAATAGTACTGAAAGCGAAATTATTTCAATGAGTTTAGAGAAGTATCATGTATACGATGAGAATTATGAGATGAACTTTGGCCCATGTATGGAGTACTTTTCTATTAAGAGTGAATGGCACTCTGATCTACAGTCTAGATTTTTCCATATTGTTGCACGAACCAACCAAAATAGAGAAAATGACAATGAGTCATCTACGTAGAAGATGAGTTTAATAAAATAAATAAAAGATATTAGGCAATTTTAAATTGTCTTCTTATTTTTTTCTTTTTTTTTAAATTCATTCATTATTTATAATTATTTTTTGTGGTTTATATATTAATTAAATTTAAATCATTCATTATTTTTTCTATGATAGTACTTTTTTTTGAATTAAAGTACTCAATTTGATTAAAAGAAATATTGTTATTAGTTATTTTAATGTTTCTCATGATTGAGAATAAAGACTAAAGTAATTTATATTAATATTTAATATTTTATAATTTATATCAGTAGAACATTATGCATACTTTTCGAAAATTTACAAGAGGATATATGTAAACAATGCTATATGGAGTTGAAGAAAGACCTAAATTTAAAGTATCATAAAGAATTTATCAAATTAGATGGATGGCACATTTTACTTTATTTTGCATTTAATCAATCATTTTCAATATTTATCTATCATAGTAAATGCAAATTAGAATAAACATTATAGTGACTTTAAATTAGCCTATTCACAAAGCTTTTTAGAATTTTTCATCTTAAATAATACCTTGAAATCTTCTATGACATCAAATCTGGCATTTGTTATTATCGTAATCTCATTTGCCTCTCAATTGATACTTATTTTATTTTTGATGTTTTCCACATTCATTAGAATATGGACTGCTAATCTAATAAGAAGAGATATCACAGGAAGTGATAACATGAATTCACAAATATAATAATGGGTCATGAGTTTTAATGAAACCCTTCATTGGTATTTTGTCCTATATCCTGTAATATATCTATAAATTGCAGTCATTTCCTTTAGTTCCCTTACTTGCAATTCTGTAAGCATTTTCCCAAAATCAGAATGTGATATAGGAATAGGCACTCAGATACTAGCCATTACTCCATTAGTTATTTCTTATATAAATGGATAGATATTGATTTATATAATGAGAAATCATAGATTTCATGAGCCTAATTCCTTAAAAAGAAGATATTCTTCCTTATTATTGTTAAATAACACAGTAATTCTAATAGAGATTTTTTCACATTATATTTATGATGTAAAATCATATCATTTAAATAATAGTTTGAAGTTGCTCATATTTTGAAATATTCAATGGCAAATTTATTTGCTATAAATTAAATTGTAGATCAATTAACTAATTTCCCTTATAGAGATCCTCTACGTATACCATCTATTCGATTGGCATTTGTATATGCTTGGATAGTGATGTCTGTTACTGCATTCAAATTTGATTTGCTTGCAGAAGAGAATCTATTCTTTTTTATTATCTTACCTTTGCCAGGATTAGCAATTGTTGGAGAAACCTTATCATCTTTATTTTAAACTCATGCCATATTAAATTACAATTCCAGTATTTAGATTGAAGAAAAACATATAATTATTGCAGTAGATTAATTTTATAAATACCATATTGATTATTTAAAAGTATATAGATATATGGAATTAATTTAGGACCCTTATGCTTAATTATAATATTTTTAGTTTTTAATGATCCATCGTTTGTATTGTAAAAACAATAAGTGCTACTCCAAGGTCAAACGCTTTGAGACATTAAATGTTGATTAGAAAAAGGATCTTAATATACTCACTCTGAGTATTATCAAATGTATATTTAAGGCAGCCCAAAACTGGCTGTTTTCTATGTACTCTTTATATTAATAAAATAGTCATAATCTAAATGCAGATTTACAATTTGAGCAGTTGTAATTATAGTATATTAGTTTTGTTTCTGAAATTGCTCAAAAGCCATTAATAGGATATTTGGAATTAAGACAATATCAAAATAATAAATTGAATAATAATTCTATGTATTTTGTTGAGATTACAAATAAATTGGCAGATTAATTAAAAAAATAAATTACAGATAATTAAGTGAGACAAAATTCAAAGGCTATTCTAGTCCATGAACAAAGAACATAATTAATTGAAATTTCATTGACATAATAATGGTAAACTCAAAATTTGTATGAAAATTTATTATAAACATTTATAAATTTGGTAGATTAAAAAATAGAACATTGGTAAAATTTAATAAATGGATATCCTAGTTTGAATCCATTTTAATAAAATACATAAAAATTATGTGAAAAAATCATGAATGTAATGTATGGAAATATGATTAGCTTAGGATTGCATTGGATAAATATATAGGAGTACCTTAGGAATGGTTTGATATGAAATCAACCACAACTAAAGGTATTTCTGTAAAAAAACTAAATCATGCTCAACTAAATATTAATGTAATAACATTAAAATTATATTCCTTGTTTTATTCCTTAGTAATGAATGATTTTGACAGAGTAATATTGCGATCTAAATTAGTCTGTATACGTCGAACAATATGTGAAGGATTTAACATCAAATGATAGATAAAAAGAATTAGATATAATAGATAATATATCTCTTTATAATGATTCCACTACAATTATATTGGTTAGTATTGTTAAGAATAAAGGAAAGATAGTCAACAAAAATTAATTAGCATTAGCTAATTTCTTTCATTATGTTGATGCAAATGATTTCAAAGAATCAGTTTCTTCAGTCCATAATTTATTACCAAAAACTATGATGAAAGGTCATGAATATTTAATAGATGCTTTCATTTAAAAAGGACATAGTGAATACTTTATTCGTAAAATTTCTGGATATTATGAAAACAAAAAAGGATTTATTGAGAAATGTTATGTAAAATTAGGGAATTTGTTTGAGGAATTAGATGATTATGTTATTACAGCATCCATCCTAAAATGTAATATATCTAACTAAATTATTATGGTTGATGCAGAAGGTAAAATTATAGGGATTAGTGAAGAACTCTATAAAACAATTAGTGCTAAAGTTCCTAATATAAATATTGAGTTTTTCAAAGAATTCTGTCATTTATTTCTTATTTTTCCATCATTCTTATCTATTTTGAATCAAAATATAAATAAAATTAATGAATTAGATCATTAATTTATTGATGATGAAGAACATTTATTTTATATACCTTCTAATTTAGTTGAATTAAATTCTTTATTTGTAAGAGAATCATATGAAAAAATTGGGAATACACTTTAAGAAGGATTGGAAAGTTAAAATTTAAGTTCTTGGAGATCTTGGAAATCTGTTTAAAAATCAATGAATAGTGAGCATTCCATAGGGTTTGATAGAGGAGATACAACAATATTAGGAGAGAAGATTCCAATTGCTGATAAATCTAATATTAACTTTCATTTTTAATTTATGAATTAACATAAAGATTAATTAGAAAAGGTATGAAATTATATCTAAATTTTTAAGTACACAATAATAAGAACAAAAATTAAAATGTCTTATTAAATGATGAAAGTAAAAAGATATTGTTATCCATATTTCATTATTGAATTAGAACATATGAATGAGATTAACCCTTAACATAAGTTTTATAATAGATATCCAACTATGGGATAAAATTTTGAGGCTTCTACAACTATGTTTACTTCTGCTTTAAATCATAAATCATTAAATGAAACAGTACCATCAAGTGCAGATAAATCAATTTATGATAATAAACCAGTTAGTTTTTAACCAGATAAAGCTGTCTTTGAATCATCAAATAATTAACCAATTAATAAAACTTCAAAAATTAATGAAGAAAAAATAAAATAATTAATATAATAAGATGATAGTAATATCTTATTTGGAAATGACCATTCTTAAATTAGATTGTTTGATAAACCAAGTGCTATTGAAATTTAAGATGTTTCAGCTCCACCATCAGAGATTATGTTACCATAAAATCCTTATAGACCACATTTTAGTGGTATACCTTTACAAGTAGATTAGGATAATGATTCAGATGAATTTTTTTAACTTCATAAGTAATTTGATGTAATATATAAATATAATTTTAGGAAAAATCTTATAAAGTAGAAGAAAAATAATTATAAAAAGATAAATCGAGTGATGATTTTAAAGATAAAGATGAATCATAATAAGAAATAGAAGATAATCTTGAAAGACATTCTTCAAACTAAAATTTTAATAAGAAAAATTTTATTTAATTGTTAGTTGAAAATAAAAAACTTTAATAAGAGTATTTTAACAGTTTAATAATTTTATTAGAAATCAAAATGATAATGAAGAAGAGGAAAAGAAAAAAAGATCAATAGCAAGTTCATCAAGAACAAGTACCTCCAAATCACCTTCCTTACTTGTTCGATCCTTATATTAAGTAAGTACATTTGGAGGAGGACTTAAATCTGTCATATTTGCAATTTTATTGTATCTTCTTTTACAATTCTGCCTAGTATTTGTTAAACTTAGCATCATTTAAAGTAAATTTCATGAATAATTTAGATAATTATGACATACTATAAACTAATATTAATTATGTTACTTATCCAGAAACTTTAAATTTCTATTTCTAAAAAATTGCCTTTTTTGCATGGATTAGTTTATAAGAAAGACTTGACATAATATAATATAGTGAATTCATTAAAAAATAATAATTAGAAGAATTGGCAGCTACTAGAGCAATTATGGATGTAAAATTAAATGATTTGTACTAAGGAATTATATAATTTGAAGAATAAATTATGACTGATGAACTTAGATTAATAAGCATTAATGACTTATCATTTTCAGAATAATAACTTGATCTTACTTAATTGATTTAATAAATTTAGTTGCATTCATTTAATTATATTGATAATGCTTCAGAAGGTGTAATATTTTCTGATAGTATGTTTTTTAGATTAAATGTACCTTATGTTTACAAATTTGCTTATAAATATATTACTTTACTTAATGAAAATTTAGTTTATTATGAAGATAGAATCATAAATGATATAGTAATTTTAACAATGACTTTTATATCTGTGAATAGTTGTATTATATTGTATATACTTTATAATACATTTTTATTGACACAATATGAGAGATAGATTTTGATGCTAATTACAAGGGTATCTCATAAAACAGCTGAAGAAATCATGTCAAAATTAAGTGATTTGAAAACTATTTTGATTGAACCTTCATAACTTTTATGGAAAAGAGTGAATTATTTTGAAGTAAATTATGAACAAGTCTAATAAAATTAATAAGTAGCAAATCTTTTATTTGCAAAATCAGTTAAAACATAATCAGTTACAAAATCAAATGAAATATCTGGATTAAAATCAAAAATAAAATCAAAAAGGTCATATTAGAGCAACTCATTAGCATAAAGAATTTATGATTTAACTTTAAGTTATCCTTCAAATCTTATATTTCTTTTTTTCCTTTGGTTTCTGGCTATTTTATTTATTATAGGAGGAATTTTAGTCACTATAAGTCAAGTTTCTGATATTAAACCAACATTAAATCTTAATTTATAATTGATTCGCTTTAAACTTAGATTTGACACATTGATAGTATTGGGAGAATGTTTAAAAACTTAATAAGTTATAAATGATTAATTAAAGGATAAATTCTAAAATATTAATATTGATATGAATAATTAAGTAATAATAGATCTCTTTACTGAATAAACAGATGGATTTTAGGATGCTATGAGAAGTATATATGATTCCCTTGCTAGTTAATCTGGACTTTTAGAAGCTCAAAAGAAAGAACTATTGATGTATTTTGAGGATAGTCTCTGTAATTATATGAGTGAAGAGATACCATTCTGTAATATTAGAGTATCAAATCAAAATTTTTCTGTTCCTGATTCCTTCAAAACAACATATGGTAATCCATGGTTAGAAGATAATAATTTTGATTTTTTATCTGGAGGTATAACTGGATGTGTTTAAGAATTTACAAAGACTTTAAATTTGTATTTCTCAAAGGAAATTTAATCAAAAGAAATGTAAGTAAAAACTATATAAGAAACAGTATCATTTTTGAAAACACAAATCCATATTAATTAATTTGTAGAATATTATCTTGACTCTGGAAAGTTATTATAAATTATAGGAGATAATTTATTCGAATAAAATTAATCAAAATTATAATAAGCAACTACAATTATGCAATTATACATTTATATTACAGGACTTGGTTTGTTGATTATTCTAGGTTCTATCTCATATTTTTGGTTAAAATATGTTAGTGCAAGAATGAAGTTAATGAGATTAAGTTTGACTCTAATACCATATGAAATCTTATTAGAGCCAAAGACAATGAGTTCTTTAAAATAATTATGATATTTACTTATTAAAGTAATTGAATTATTCTCTATTTTTATACTTTATATTTTTTTTAAAGCAGAGAAGAATTTAATCTATGAGAAATAGATTGCAAATATAAACACAATTAATTTTATAATTTAATAAAAGAATAATGATAGCTAAAAGAATTCTTAGTTTAGGTGTACTCAGATAATATTCAATATTTCAAAGCTAATTTGCATATTGTATTAAAAAATATAATATAAATTTTTAATTGATGGATTAAAATCCAGAATAGCAAAAAGAGGAATAAGTACAAAACAAAGAGTAATTAAAATAATAATAATAACCTAAATAATAACCTAAAGAAAAATAATTAGCAGTCAAAAATCCTAAAGGCACAAGAGATTTCTTACCTTAATAAATGGTGATAAGGAGACAAGCATTTAAAATAATTACAGATGTATTTGAGTAACATGGAGCAGTTGAAATTGATACTCCTGTTTTTGAGTTAAAAGAAACCTTAATTGGTAAATATGGTGAAGAAGGAGGAAAATTGATATATGATCTATAAGATTAAGGAGGTGAAATCTTATCTTTACGATATGATTTAACAGTACCATTTGCCAGATATCTAGCTACTCATGGATATAAGAAATTAAAAAGATATCACATTGGAAAGGTTTATAGAAGAGACAATCCATCTATATAATAAGGGAGATTCCGTGAATTTTTTTAATGTGATTTTGATATTGCAGGAGAGTATTAATATAATATTATATATTAGAAATGATCCAATGGTAGCTGATGCAGAATTAATAAAAATAATTGATCAAATATTTACAAAATTAGATTTAGGACCTTTTCAAATTAAAATATCTAATAGAAAATTATTAGATGCAATGATTTAAATTGCTGGAATTCCTAAAACTTAATTTAAAACAGTTTGTTCAAGTATTGATAAATTAGATAAATAACCATGGAAAGAAATTAGATAAGAATTAGTTGAGAAAAAAGGAGTTAGTGAGGAATAAGCAGATATCTTAAGCAAAATGGTTTAATTGAGAGGAGAGCCTTTCTAATTGATTTAATAACTCAAAGAATAAAAGCTTTTTGAATAATAAGGAAAAGAAGCTTTGGATGAAATGGAACTTTTATTTAATTTATTGAAATATATGAATGGATTAAAAAATGTAATCTTTGATCTCTCTTTAGCAAGAGGACTTGATTATTATACTGGATTAATCTAAGAAACTGTATTATTAGGAGGATAATTAGGTTCTATATCTGGAGGGTAAATTATATATTTTTTATCTATTTAGTGGTCGTTATGATGATTTAGTAGGTATGTTTTCAAAAAATAGTATTCCATGCGTTGGTGCATCAATTGGAATAGAAAGAATATTTGCTATATTAGAGGAAAAATATAAGAAGAGTGGAATAGTTTTACGTGAAAATTAGTCTGATTGTATTGTTGCTACAATTCCATCTAAAAATATAGACATGGTTGCTGAAAAGTTTAAAATTTATGATTTATTATGGTCTAATGGAATAAAGGCAGATGTTTGTTATAAATTAAATTGGAATTTAGGAAAGTAATTAACTTATGCAAATGATTAATAAATTCCTTATGCTATTGTTATAGGAGAGGATGAAGTGAAATAAGAGATTGTCAAATTTAAAGATTTAATAGAAAAGAAAGAAGAAACTATTAATTTGAAAGATCTTATTTAGATATTAAAGTAGAAAGTTGGAAAATGAGTCTATTAATACAAAAATATTAAGTATTAAGATATATATATTTATGTCATTATTGTTATTCTTGATTATTGTATTAATCTTGATATTGAATAACTAATTCACATAATTTTTGCATTAAATAAATATCTCTATGCATAAATAAATCCCAATATGTTAAATTTCCATTTTAATAAATATCAATTTCTTACATTAATCTAATATTATTATAAATAATTTACTGTCGAGCAAACTAAAACTAATATATTCTCTCTAATTATTGAAGATCTATCAATGTAATTGCATTAGAAGAACTTTAAGGTTATTTTAATGATTCAAATAATTCTCTAATAAAATTTCTTGGTTATTCCTATTATAAACAAATACTTTCTAGAATGGAACCAGTTTCTCTATAATTAATCCAATCATCTCCATCTTTATCAAGTACTTTAAATAGTTCATCAATGTTAATTTATAAAGAGGTTTGCTTAAGTTAATTTGAAAATTAGAAGTAATTAATTCTAATATAAGCTGAATTAGGAAATAATAGGGTGAATAAATATTCTGGAGTAGTGTCTATATAAAGAACTGATTTATAATTTGGGATATATTCTGGTTTATCCAATTTATGTAAAAGTGTAGGCCAATTAGTAAACAAATGTTTATATTGTGTTTATGCCAATATTTAACAGTCTTAATAATTAAAGAAACTATAACTTTAATGAGGATCACCTACTTAAATTCTCTCTTTGTTTTATTATTCTACACTTTATTTAAAATTTTATTATAAGTCTGGTTATTATGTTAATGCAGGTTAGAGATATGATTGGGCTATATTAATTTATAGATAACTAGAGTTTTGACTGGAAAATAGTTATGTTGGTTTAATATCATTTTTTATAGTTTGATCTTGGATTAATTATAAAGGAGGCTCAGTCATTTGTTTTAGTATGCTTTCATTTGATGATTCTGATTCAATATAATCATTCTTTTCATTGATGTCAATATCTTTCTCTAAAAATTACTAATTTTAACTATATAATATTTCACTATCTTATTAAATATTATTTGAATTCCTCTCAGATTTATCAAAAGTAGGTTGTAATTGTTGTATATATTATTGATTATTAGTTGAATAATACTATATTTTTTCAAGATCTTTAGTTTCATTCTAATTTCTATCTGTAAGTATAATTTCAGACAGTTAAACATCATTTGTTATTTCTTTGGTTTTTGCAAGATTAATAATTTTAGGTGATGAAGTATCTGCAGATTTCCATAAATCAGGACATGATTTCTTTTGACTATTTGGAAATTATTAAGGTTATTATTGAAATAATTTTTGGTTGTTATTTGATTTTGGAGATTAACATTAAGGAGCTTTTTCATTTTCCTTTTCTCCTTTTTTTCTTAAATATTTACGAAGTTCTGTTGACATTTCTTTATGATTAGTTATTTTCTTATAATTATTTAGTATAGAAATCACATCTTAATTTCCATCTTTTACCATATTTCTTAATGCAATTCGATCATCTTTGAATATAACTAATTTTTAGGAACATTGTAAATACGTGTGCAATTATCAAGTAGTGTTAATATTTCAAGGTTGTCTGGTTTCTTAGGATTCTTGGTTGTTTATTAGGATGATTTTCCAAATCTAATCATAAAATTAACTGTTAATGACAATAATATAATAAATTCATGATAATGAATGTAAAATATGAATTAATTCAATAAATTACAGATGAATCAATTAACTTACAAGTTGCAAAAGATGTGTTGTCAGAAGCAGTAATGGAGAATCCAAGTATTTAAAATTTGTTATAGTAGAGGTTCTTGGAGATATTTTTGAATAGAAATTAAATATCCACGCGCTTTGCATTTTGCATAATTCATTAAGAGAGTATTCTCCTCTTGCATCTTTGATTGCAGAACAATTACTTAATAAGAATATTTGTGCTGAATCCTCAATTGTTAGGATCTACTATTCTTATTTATAGAAGACAGCATCTGTACATGAATTATATTAAGCAATTAAAAATGGAAAGGTTGAAAAACTAGACAATCCTTAGATTGTAGTTATTACTGCTCATAAGGTTTAGAATTTATCAAATATGGGGCTTCAATTACTCACACTATATACACCCACATTTAAAAATATGTAAATATAAGTCTATTAAGATGTGTACGATTATGCACAATTTGTAAAAGATTAATTTATTCATATCATAGGTATGACTATTAAAATACTTTAGATAGTTATCCAACATTCTCATCATCAGCAACAATCAGTTTATATTAAATATATAATGATGTATTGATATAAGATGCAGAGTTACAAGATTTCAGAAGATGTTCTAAAGATAACACTCTTAGAGAACCTATCAAATTAAATATACAAGAGAGTCTATTATCAGATTTCTTGAGTCTTTCTTCATCCCTTATGCTTGTTAGTGCTAATACACTCAGACCTCTCAACATTCCAACTAAGCTTTTACCATGTGGAGGTCAAGAATAGCAAGTTATGAGATATTACAAGAAATTTTATTCAATTAGTTGATTTATAATTAAAATGTGAAATTAATATAATACTTCTAATTATTATAAAGTACATTGAATACAACTATAATAAACCCCAAAATATCATCTAAATTTAAAATATATAAAGTTTTAATCATTTAGCCATTCTAAATTTAATAAAAGTATAAAAGCATTTTTGAATGTTGAGAAGGTGAATTAGAAAAGATAAACTTATTTACTTACTTTTACTATAAAAATTGATTTCAAAGTTAGAAGGATTGCTTGTTGCAGTAGAAATTTAAATTATTTCTTTTTTTTTAATTATAATTAGATAATAGTTTTCTTTAAATGAAAAAAAAATCAGTATTTTATAGTATATTATTTCGAGATTTCATAATTCGTATTATAAATAATATAATGCAATTAAAAAATTAAATATTACAGATTATTATAAATCAAAAGTCACATTTTTTAAAAATTAATTATTATGATTTACTTTTTAGGAATTTAGAAATTCTTTTTGATCTTATAAATAATCAATCCAATAATCCCAAAAACATCATTATATAATAATGGAAAGTATTTCAAAAGCATACCTAATCTTCTTATTATTGGGTTGTTTGATGACCTAAACAAATTAAATGACCTTGGATGAAATTAAAGATCAAATTGTCAATGATTGGAAAAGTCTTGCTTTAGAATTGAATCCTTTCGAATAAGGAGGCCAAATCTTCCCCACATATGTGAGAAGATAATGGAATTTCACATCAGATTCTGAATTCTCAATGAAAATTGAAATTTTCAATGATCATTCTGGATCTAACAGACGTTAAACTTATGAAGGAAGCGGAATTATAACATACTAAGGTGAAAGCAGTGCTATTCAAGGAGCATTCCTTTGCTAATTTAATCTTAATAAGACTCTAATCTTAACACTTCATACAGATGAAGTTGTAACTTAATTTAACCAAATTTAAACGGAAGGTATTACTTGGATTAAAGACAAACCTCAAGATATAACATTATTAGCAGTGCCTGCATTTAATAAATTAGCTGGACAACCTCTAGTAGTATACGACTTAATATATTTTCATGACAATTATTTATATATGGGTGAAGTTGATGCATTTGGCAATATGGCTTCTCTTGAACAGCCACCACAAGGTATATGCCCACCATTGATACCTTTCTCTGATGATACGACCCCTCTAACTTTGGAAGAGCTCAAAGAAGAAATGGTCACCGGAGTTTGGAGTAGTATTGCAAAAGAGGTTAGACCAGGATTTGATAATCAGGGTCAAGTGATTACAATTTATATAACTAGAGAATTAAGTTTTCCAGATGACTCCTCCTTCGATCTAATTATTAATAGATTTCCTGGCCCAGGACAAACAGAGTCACTATTAGATTTTGAAATGATTGGTTCACTAATTTGGGAAGGGGATGCATCTTCTGTTGTTCCTGGTGCTCAATTTACATAGTTTGTTGTGAATGAAGTTTATCTAACACCAAAATCTGAAGCTATAGTGTCAGCATTTAATTAAAATTTACCAGCAGGTGTTGATCCTTTTCAATTGAATTAAAGGGCAAACCTAACTTAAAAGGATTTCCCTGGATTAGGATTATCAAAAGATGAATAGGTCAAAGAAAATGATATAATCTATATGAGACAGAATCGTTTATATTTAGGAGCTAGACCTGTCGATGGATCAAGACCATACCCTATTGAAAAGCGAACCTACAGTTTAAGTGACGATCTCGTAGATCCAGAAAGAAGTGCTTCAAAAGGTGTCATAATCCTTCTAAGCCTAATAATTTTTAGTGTTTGGATTTGAAATAAAATATAAAATATTTAAAATATTTTTTATAATATTTTTTATAATATTTTTTTAATCAATATTAATATTTGTAAGTAGTAAGTAAAATTTAAATACCTAACTGTCAATTTTAGCCTAAGAGCTTGATTTGCAACTCTAATTTTTTTAAGGATTTGAGGTATCTTCTATTTCCAATTTATTCCATTTATTTTTTTCTAAAATTTTGAATTTACTTTGTGCAACCTGTCATTGTGATATGCTTTTACAAATTGAATAAAATAATTGTGAAATAATAACCAAAAAAATTGAAGTTCAATTTCAATATTATGAATTCCTCTATAGTAAAAAAATATGGAAAATATTACTAAAATATTCAATGGTATTAAATTTGAACAATTAAGTTATTATCTTTTAAGAATTTGGAAGTGGTTTAAGAAGCTCAAATATATTTTGTAGTTGAGTAAATTTGTATATTTTTTAAAAATAATCAATTTCATGTTGTTATAATTGACGATGTTTTTATTGTTAATAAGCTTGCATCTCCTTTAATATTTAATTAATACTTAAATCAAATCATTATATTCTTACTCAGTATTGATTAATTTAAATTAATTGCTAAAATATAACACTTATTTTCTCAATATACATATTTTCACCAACTCTATTAGATTAAATTTTTAATAAAAAAATTATATACAAAAATCTTAGAGATTTATTAATAATTAGTATATCAAATAAATTAATTAAGACAGACAAGATTTATGAGGAATATAAATTTAAATAAAATATAAATTCATGCATCCTAATTAAATGGGTTGCTTTATTCATTTCTATGAACATATTTAAATATCTTTTCTTTTTTATCATAAATCTAGAAATAATAATGATATCTAAATACTTCTTCCATTTCTTTGAATGCTTGCAATAGTTTATCATTGTAAGGATAGAAAATTCCTTCTTTATAATTGACAAAATTGGCAGAAGCAGGAACCCACTCATTAAAATTCTCATGGAGATCATTATCAATCAAATTGTCAATTTATTTAACATCTCTTATTCCTTATTATAAGAGTTATCTTAAAGTAAAATTATTTTTTGCTGCTTCTAATACCTCTTGCTTATCTAATTAACCATCTCCATTGATATCACATTCTATAAAAATCTTTGAAATTGTTTTTTTTAATTTCTATCTGTCACTGAATGATGCTATATTTAATTTTAAGACATTATATAATTCTTATTCAGAGATGGCTCCACTTCCATCAGTATCACAAATTTCAAAAAATACTTTCATTTTCTCTTCAATTGAGTCTTCCTTAAAAACCTCTAATCCAACAATTAACTCCTTATAATCTATTGTGCCACTCTAATCTTCATCGAAAACATAAAATAGTTTTTCTGAAAGATCAGTGCTCAATCCTACAACACTTAATAAATCTATAAATTCTGCTTTATTGAGACCATTTTATTTTTGTTTTGCATATTTAACCATAACTTAATAATTGCTAAAGAGTTAAGTTATTGCTTCCTTTCTATTTTTTAAAAGCCATTATATAGTTTTCCACTTCATTTTAAACTTAGATCTAGCAGTTACTTTTTTTGTTAGATTGAAATTAGAATGTTTTTATGTTTAATTATTTAGCATTATAGATACACTACCTTTTGGAACTGAAACTGCTTTTTTGATGTTTCTACTCTTTTCTGTGTATTTGCATTTATTTTATAATTTCTTATTGTATACTAACTCTTAAATTTTTTCCAATCTCACTAACTATGGATTCTTGCACTAATATTTATAGCCTTCATTTCAAAATATACTTACGTTTCATTTTAGGATCTTACTCAGATTCTAATATTACACTTAAATCCTAACTTTAAAAGCGAGTAGGCAATTCAATCACACTATTTTGGCTTTTCTAAGTGGCTAATGACCTTGGTGATGGCTATATGGAGTGACTTACTTGTGAAGTATTCATATTCTATTTAGGACCATAACTATGATCCAAAGCATATGAATGAGTTTTCATTAGAAAAAGTTTTTATTTCATAATAATTAATAATAAGAATATTTCCTTAGAATAAAAATACAAACTATCTAAAAAAATTAAATTCCTGTTGGATTATGAAGGTAATTTTATCAATCATATTCAATCTATCCATATACTAAAATAGTTAGAAAAAATAACATAATTATTATTTTATTCATTACTATTATTTTTCAAAGTTCATAAAACAGTATTAATATACTATTTAAATATGATTAATATGAAAATAGTAATTTAAAGATATACTAATACTCAAAGTAAACCACTTTTTGGATTTATAATAATTTTATAATTGAATTAAATTTACATAGTTTAAAATAAAATGTATAATCTAAGAATTATTAATTGTCTAAATTTGGATTATTCTAATTCTCATTTAAAAATTAACTATATTTAAGAAGGTGTTGAGAATCCCAGTAGATATATACTTAGAACCTGCTTTACTCTATCAAACTGATTAAGAATGCTCAGTTTCCCAAAAAAATACGTATTATTACTTTTAATTCTCTTCAATACTGATAAAATTAGATTTAAAAGCTTAATTTTTGAGGTTGATTACATTTATTGGGCATAAAAAATAAGATAAACTGTTAACTAGTGTAAACCTCCTGTTTCATTATAAAAAGTGAATGCTAAATTTGATTTATGATAATAGCAGCAGTTTCATTAAATAAAATATTTCTGAAATAATAATTTAGCAATTTTATTCATAAATCTACTTGTAATCGTTATAATGAATTAATTAACAAGAATAGAATATTTTTCATCAAACCCATGTTTATGTAATCATTCTGCTTGATTGTTTCATTGGCATTTATGATATAAAAGTAATTAGACATCAATAAGAATTCTTTTCATTTGAAAAACGACACCATCATCTATGTATTTGTAATTAAATAGCATTAAAATAAATCATTGAAAATAACGATTTTTTTTTAGGCGAGTTCAAGAAGGATGGAATTATTCAATTATTTTAATCTTAAGTAAATTAAGGATACAATTACAGAATAAGTAATTTTAATAAATCAATTTAAATTATGAAAATTTATAAATTATTGATAATAAATAATAATATGAATATTCTAATTTAGATTGTGAATGAAATAAAACCTATTTTTATTTACAAATCATAGTCATTTTATTTATTCAATCATCATTAAGATTTAGTTAATAAAGTTTATAATCTCCTTACTTTATCTTTATTACTTTTTCTTCCCAAATGTCACATAAACATTGAAAAATTCTAAATTTTATTATGATTAATCATATATTCTTTTGAAGAATTTCAATAAGCTATCAATTTAAACACATTAAGCACTAATCAATCTATTGTTAAGTGGAGAGAATATTGTTATTGGCAATGGAGGTAAACAATAATCAGTCAATAAAAAAAAATAACTAATATTAATTTTTTCATTATACCTTGGTTTGTTAGGCTCTATAAATTAATCTAAACTTGGTAAACCTATACCTTAAATATCTGGTGAGAATTCATGAGAAAAGAAGTACATCATATCTAAAAATTATTGACCCAACAATTCTGATTTCACTCGATTCTCTCTAAGATAACAGTAAACTATCACAATTAAAGAAAATGAGGATAATCCACCTTAAATTTATGGAATATAAATATTTACCTTTAAAAGCTTCTGAATATCCTAATTTTTTTATTATAGTTTTCAAAATCAAAACCAATTGTTGGATAGTTGGATATTCCTACATCCATTTGATAATCATATCAGTTGATTCATATCCTAAATGATTATGATGAAAACTAAATGAAATATCCACTTTTATTCCTGATTTCACCTTTTGCTTTATGGATTTCCACTTTGTTATTAAATTATCGTCTAGGTTTAAATATCTTGAATCAAATTCGCTAAAAGGTATTAATGGATCTATTTCAAGTTTTATCACAGGAACCATTGTGTTAAAAATAGATCTACTATCCATCTTAATGTGTACTTTGATTTTGTTACCCATTTCGTTTATAGAAATGTATTATACAATTAGTTAAATGGTTATCGAAGTGATGATTTCTCAAAACCTTCAAACGAAATAATGCCAATATCAATGTCGGAATCTATCAATGCAAGTCCTGTTGCACAAGAACCAAAGAGTCTTTATATATATTATTATTTTTAGTTTTTACTTAATTTTATCATCATGCAAAAAAAATAAGCTCTATATTGTTACTTTGACTCTATTATAAACTAATTCTCTAAATGGCAATAGATCATCAAATTCCTATAAAATCATATCAGTAAAATTAATAATATCCATCGTCATGAATTCAAGCATCTTTTTTTCCCCTAACTTGGTATTATCTTCAATAATTATTTTCATTGATTTATCAGATATAGTTTTCTATTGTTATCGTAAATTAACAGAAGATTATACCAAGCATTCATGATTATCCTTACTATTACAAAATTAAGTTAAGTCTTCCTCATTTTTTATTTTTTATACATTATAAAGGCTTTACTTTGATGGTGTCTGTTTATTTTTTTACAATTATGCTTCAAAGGCCGAATTCTAGGAAGAGGGTTATAATGATTAAGATTTTGAATATTTATCTTTAGAAATATTCTATTGATCAAATTTTTCAATATTTTGCTATTGATATTTTTATTTATTCTTTTTAATACATTACTTGATATTTAATTAATATTTTTAGGCAAATTCTTGTTCTTCAATCAGGCAAGAATTAGATAATTAAATTATTAATTACACAGAATCTAAGGAAATTTAAATCCACTATTCCTCTTCTTTAAATGTTGATTGCTTAAAAGATTCAAATGAATTTCCCAATTATATTTCCTAAATAAATTTTGTATTCTTTAACTCTTAAACCAAGCATCTTATGGATGCTTCTTCTTATGTTGATTAATCACTTGTTAAGTTCTCACTAAATGTTAAAATAAAGTTACATGGAGGATAAATCATTTCTAGAATTATTCCTTATTAATGACTCCTCTGATTAAGCATTCTGTACTAAAGTTTGTTTTTAGGGTTTTTTTTACTTTTTCTTCCTTTTTGAAGTTTTAGATTTAGATTAAGATTCACTACTTAATAATTCTTATTCTAAGTGCTCTTGATAAAGGTTAAGAAATATAGTATAGAATTTTTTGAGATAATAAGTTTTTTATTCAATAAGTTCACTCATCTTTGTTATTTACATAGAACTTATTATATTTTAATCAGTATTGCACTTTTGAATAAATGAAGCTTAAATTTCTGCCTGTGATTTATAAGTTTTAATAGCAGGACTTTAAAAGATATTAGAATAAAATATATTTTCGAGATTTCCAGATTTTTTTTAGATTTCATTAGTTATTTATTCATAATACTTTATTAGCTATGAAAAATAATGATAAAAGAATACCTACTCTCTATTGTTAGCTATATTTAATTAAAAAAAATTTTAGAGTTCAAAATTATTATTTTTAATTGTGGTTTAATTATTATCCTTGATTTTCTTTTTCTTATCATGCGAAATTGCAAAATAATAAGCTAGATTCTTTTCGTATTCTCTCACAATCCATTCAATACAACTATGGTAAGATTTCTAAGAAAACCATTCAGGATCCTCAACTTTTTCATGAGTAGCTTTTGGTGGTTTTGAAAGAAATTTATAATTTGAAATGTCCTGAAGGAGTTAAAAAAAATGATCTAACTTATTTAAGGCACCGTCAACTAAAATAATTGAATCCATAAACTATTCTTCATCAATGATTTACAACAATTCATAAAATTCCTTTTTTATAAAATTTTTTACTTCAGCTCTTGAATGAAGTTATTTAGATGTCATTATAAATTAGTCATCAAACCTCTCTTGCAAGTTCAACCTAGTAAAAATCTTTCAATTACTGTCTTTATTTTATTCCATAATGGGAGGGAACAAAAAGTCTATCATAAATATACATCTAAAGTATTGGAATTGTACTCGCTTAGCCTTTAATTTAAAAAATCCGATACTAATCATTGATCTCAAGGGTAGCCAACCTAGATTGGGATGTAATTATTGTACCATTTAAGCATTTCTACTCGATAGGTACTTTATTAATGTAATTCCTTCATCTCATCCGGATAATAGTAAGGTAAGTAAGTATTTCGGTAAGGATACATTACATTATAAGGTGGTATAAAAGGACCTAATTAATTGATGTGACTCATCAAAATGATTAAAATGCATACTTACTCAAAAGAATTTAGATAAAAATAGTAGTATTTTAATATTAATTTATATTCCAGAAGTTCCACTAATATTTTCTATCATTTCATAAATAAAAATTAAGCAGCATCATAAATCTATTAAGAATATTTAATTTCAAATCAGAAAATATGTGTTCATATTAAATATAATCAAATTTACAAAACATAATAATATTAAATTTATAGGTTTTCATTAAAAAAATCATTCGATTAAAAATGTAGTTTTAGGAATGTTGCTCTTCATTTAATTTCTATTATCTGTAACAATTTTAGGTTCAAAACAGCTTAAATATTATATTCAGAGATTCTGTTTCAATAAAATAAAAAACATTTTTTTAAAACTTCAATATGATTGTTCAATTTAGACATGAAGTACATGATGATAGTAACTAGAGATTTAAATCATCAAAATGCCAATACAAAAAAACGATAGGATGATAAAATTTACAAAAAAAGAAGAATGATGTACATTCTAAAAAATATTTGCCAAAATTTTCTGGTAGATGCGTATTAATTGGAAGCCTTATGGTATTGGCTTCCAAGTTTTTAATTTCAGCAATCTTTCCCTTTAAATATTTCGCTCTTTAAGCTAAACTTGAACAAATTTAATCTAGTCTAAATCATTTTTTTGGTTATTATTTTAGTTATTATAATATATGAATTATTTTATCATAAACAATGAATCACACAAGCCCAAAAATAATTTTTTATTTATTTAATCCCTTTATAATCTCTTTTGCATTTATTGAAAATATGAGTTGCTTTTATAAATTAAGGATTGAGTGTTTGAAATCCCTTTCGGTCCCCAAATCGAAATTTAATCACAACTAAATATTGCTTGGCAGTGTTAAATTACGACAGGCCAAAAGTCTTTAGTCGCTACATCATCGCTATTTATTTAAAGAATATTAAAAGCAAATTAACAAAATTCCATTTTTTAATATCTAGGATACTATGATAGGTATACTTAATTGATTATTATTTATATAAGGGGTTGGTGTGGAAAGTTTTAATTAACAAACGTTATTTTATTTAGTTTTTTAGTTAGAAAAAATTACTTATTATTTAATACCAAAAAGAATAATAAGTTATGTCAAGAATTTAAAAAAAATAAAGTTGATCTTAGATTATTTAAGCAATTAATTTAATTTTAAAAAAAGTTAAAATCATTATCAAAATTTCAATAAACTTTTTTATTATTCATTTATAGATATTTAAGTATTTCTAAATATAAAATAATTTAAAGATAAACTAATCATCAATAAGTATTATATCCCCAAAAGTATTAAGATTTAAGAATTTAATTATATCTATATTATAATTAAAAACCAATTTCCAAGAAATCTTTTAAATATCTATAAACAATAACATTTATAATCCAACACCATAATGTACACAGCTATTTACAGAGTCAAAACTATATTCACTTTTCCCTTTAAGATCTTTTAATGAAATTAATATCTTGATAAAACTTATCCCTCATCGCTTCTTAGTTTTTGTATTGATGAACTTAAAATTAGATTAGTTAAATAAGAAATTACCTAAAATAAGTAATTTAAGGCAATTAAGCAAATTGAAGAAAAAAGTATTTTTTTATGTATATGTATTTGTATGTTCACGATAAAGAAATAATTATTCATCAATTATTCAATAATGCTTTTCATTTTTCATCGACTTTAATAATTAAGGGTGATAAATATTTTTCAGTCCTTAATTAAAAAATTAGTTTCAATACATAATTTAGAGTTAGAAAAGCTACAAACATATTCTGTGTAATTTAGAAATTTAATTTTCTTATTAAAAATAATTTTAATATCCCAAAAATTATTTCTTAATCCTTATTCTCTTTTATGGTGCAACTTTTATAAAATTAAGCTCTTAAAATCAGTGTGGTACTTCCAGCTTATAAAAATGTTTCCTCATCTTATACAAATGGAGTATTTGAATGAATTCATTGATTTGAATTAATATGTTTTTAAAGAAAAATAAGCAAGTAGGGTTTTTTTAGAATTAAATTATTATTAAAAAAATTTTGATGCATCTCAAAAAAATGAGCTACAACTTACAATTTTTAACGGAATCATTTTTAGGAGTTGAAAATTACATATAAAATTGAAGAAGCATTATAAGAAATTAATAATGCATTGAATCTTGATTCTAAATTTGCTGAAGCCTACACTCTAAGAAGTTGATGTTATAAATTAGAATTTATGTGAACTATATGAAAAGATGAAATAATATGATAAGGCTTTAGAAGATGTAAATTATAGAATATCCATAAATAATAATTAAGCTGAAAGTTATTATTAAAGAGGTAAAAATGAATTCGTATAATCTAAGCAACAATTTATTGGAGAAAATCAATATTTGATCTAGCATTATAAGATTGTAAGAAATGTGTTGAGATTGATACAAACTTTGCAATGAGTTTTTGTTGAATAAGTAATAAAATGAAGTTTAATTTATAGGCACAATTATGAATAATTTGAAATAGTAGGAAAATGAATTTAAGTTTTACAATTAGGCTTTAGAAAAAGATTGGGATTGTTATAATGCATTTATGTGTAGAAGTATCAAAACATGTAATTTATAAGGTTAGTATTATATGGATGAACAAAAGATTGATGATGCACTTAGAGATTTCAAATAAGCAATTGAAATCAACCCTATAAATNTATTCACTTTTCCCTTTAAGATCTTTTAATGAAATTAATATCTTGATAAAACTTATCCCTCATCGCTTCTTAGTTTTTGTATTGATGAACTTAAAATTAGATTAGTTAAATAAGAAATTACCTAAAATAAGTAATTTAAGGCAATTAAGCAAATTGAAGAAAAAAGTATTTTTTTATGTATATGTATTTGTATGTTCACGATAAAGAAATAATTATTCATCAATTATTCAATAATGCTTTTCATTTTTCATCGACTTTAATAATTAAGGGTGATAAATATTTTTCAGTCCTTAATTAAAAAATTAGTTTCAATACATAATTTAGAGTTAGAAAAGCTACAAACATATTCTGTGTAATTTAGAAATTTAATTTTCTTATTAAAAATAATTTTAATATCCCAAAAATTATTTCTTAATCCTTATTCTCTTTTATGGTGCAACTTTTATAAAATTAAGCTCTTAAAATCAGTGTGGTACTTCCAGCTTATAAAAATGTTTCCTCATCTTATACAAATGGAGTATTTGAATGAATTCATTGATTTGAATTAATATGTTTTTAAAGAAAAATAAGCAAGTAGGGTTTTTTTAGAATTAAATTATTATTAAAAAAATTTTGATGCATCTCAAAAAAATGAGCTACAACTTACAATTTTTAACGGAATCATTTTTAGGAGTTGAAAATTACATATAAAATTGAAGAAGCATTATAAGAAATTAATAATGCATTGAATCTTGATTCTAAATTTGCTGAAGCCTACACTCTAAGAAGTTGATGTTATAAATTAGAATTTATGTGAACTATATGAAAAGATGAAATAATATGATAAGGCTTTAGAAGATGTAAATTATAGAATATCCATAAATAATAATTAAGCTGAAAGTTATTATTAAAGAGGTAAAAATGAATTCGTATAATCTAAGCAACAATTTATTGGAGAAAATCAATATTTGATCTAGCATTATAAGATTGTAAGAAATGTGTTGAGATTGATACAAACTTTGCAATGAGTTTTTGTTGAATAAGTAATAAAATGAAGTTTAATTTATAGGCACAATTATGAATAATTTGAAATAGTAGGAAAATGAATTTAAGTTTTACAATTAGGCTTTAGAAAAAGATTGGGATTGTTATAATGCATTTATGTGTAGAAGTATCAAAACATGTAATTTATAAGGTTAGTATTATATGGATGAACAAAAGATTGATGATGCACTTAGAGATTTCAAATAAGCAATTGAAATCAACCCTATAAATAGTATAGTCTAGTATAATTGAGGTGACAGATTTTACAGAAAATATATTAGGTAATTTATATTCATATGTTGGTGATAAAAAAAGAAAAAGCATTAAATGACTACAATCAAGCAATCCAACATAATCCAAAATATGTTGGTGCCTATTTTAATAGAGTTGAATACTGTTCTACAATATATTAAAGGTTATTTATATTTCTATATTGGTTACTGATTTTAATCTTTAGATAAAAAAAAAAAGCGGTATATTCATCTTACATAATCATCAACCAAAAATACTAGAGATCTTAGATTATCTAGACGTAGAAAAGTAACAATGGAAAAATATCCGAACATATCAAGAAATTAAAAAGCAAACTATTTCTTTCCTTGCTAATAAAGTATAATGGATATCCCAAAAATTTGACTGGAAATCAAAGCTAACTATGTGGAATATATTTATTAGACCGCATATTATTTATACTTTAAATGCTATTTAAACTTAAAGATACAAAAATATATTTGTTTAAGTACAAAAATATATAAATGAAGCATAAAAAATTGGCTGATTTTCCCAAAAATCTACCTTATTAAATCCTTACACTTCTATGTCCTGATATAGCAAAACTCACATTAAGGAGCTTTGAAAATACTATTGAAAAAATGAATTAAAGAGGTATAAAATATAAAAAACCTTTAGAATACGAACATATCAATTCTTAGTCAAAAACATGTAAGTAATTCTTTTTCAAGGAATGTCGATTCTTGCTTCAAAACCCATTTCTCCAAATGGAATAAAAAAAATATGCAATTAATTGTTAGTTTAATATTTTTCAATCCTGAAAGCAGATTCTTTTTATCAATAGCGACGAATGGTAAATTTTATAAATTAAGTTTCTTTATAAGTTCTTTACCACTATTCGATCCATTATTGGAAAACTAAGAATAAGGCTTTTGTACTATTTATTAGATTTGTTCTTCAATTTCTTCAAAACAAAATTAGGATTTTCTTGGAATTTTGACAAAATTGGCATTTTTAATAATCGTCATGATTTTTTTTAGCTTACCCTTTCTAAGATTTAATTAAATCAGAACTTTATTTATTGAAGTTACAAAATACTATTAATAAAAATATGAGAGTTTTATGATTATTCAAGCTTTTTAAATCCAAAAAAAATTATTGTTAGATAAGTATTCTTTACAAATGGATTAATTCTATTAAAAAAATTAAGAGTATCCTATTATTATTTGGACTGACAGCGGAATTTCTAATTGGGAGAATAAATTATATTGTGAAAAACTCCAAACTGATTACTAGAATGCATTGCAAGCCTTTAATGATATATCTGAGGCAATTAAAATATTGTAGAAAATTGGTGACAAAGATGTAACAATCCTAACAAGTGGATAATATGCTTATTAACTTGTAAAACATACAAAAAAAAACATCATTTTATTTTGTGGTAGAAGACAGAATCAATTAGAATTGTTCATGAATAATTCTAAATTTTATCAATATTGTCAGATTCATTTTAATCTGCTCATGAAAA